AAAACCCAGATGAAACAAAAGGGAGAAATAGACGAATTGACAACACTAGCTAAGGTCACACTACTCTCGCAGCAACCAACAGAAAGGACGAACAACAAGCCAGTGATCTGCTAGAAGATTCGATCGCGCTGTCCACCAACTCTGCCATGTGCAAGAATACTGCTCCATCCAACAGCTGCAGAAAACGCTTTCCTTCCCACCCTGCTTGCGGAACACTGGCTGATACAGACCACGCGCAGGGGTCAAAACTCGTCTCAACTGATGTAAAGATCAAAACTGTAAACAATGTGTTATCTGATCACAAAAGGAAACTAGAAACTAAAAACAAAACGATACCTTCTCCGGTTCTCAAACAGATAGAAATTAAGCAATGCATTTCTACATAAGCCATGGGTCAAAGAATTAAATTACAGGGGGAAATGTAAAATATTTTTAGCTAAATGATAATACCAACATAGCCCTTAAAAATTTGTAATATGCAGCTAAAGATGTGCTTCCGGGGATATTTATATTTCTAGACGGTTCTGTGGGAAAAGAAGAAAGGTTTTGTGTCAGTCACCTAAGGATCCGCCACAAGAAGCTAACAAAACAGTAAAATCAAAAACAAAGTAGAAATACAAAAGGGTAGATAGAAGGCTGCCATCGAAGACAAAAGATCTTTGAAACCAAAGTTGCTTGCAACACGGATAAAATTATTAAACCCTCAGCGAGGTCAAAGAAAAAGCGACAGAAAACACGACTTAACCAATTTCAGGCATGAAAGAGACTGGCATTACTATAGAGAATAAGGGTGTTACAGTAAGAAAATACTATGAAAAACTGTATGCCAATAAATTGAGCTCAGATGACATGGACAGTTCTTTGGAAGACACAGATGATCCACCTGTCACAGAATGAGAAGTATCTGTCGGGTCCTGTATTTGTTACGGAAACAGACTTCACCATGAATGCCCTCCCCCCAACACGCCCACACACCCGCACTCTCCAGGCCCAGGGGACCAGGCCGATGGATGCTATCAGACATTTCAAAGGGACATGAAAATAATAATCCTACCTTCTTTCACAAACTACAGGAGGAAAGAAAACCTCCCTAACCCTTATTATAAGGCCAACATAACCCCTACACCAAAAGCAGACAAGAATATAATGAGAAAAATACTATAAACCAATATCCCCTGAACATAGACTTAAAATCCTTAATAAAGTATTAGGAAATCACAGCCAATACTTTCTCTATACCTACACTCACACACACTCTCACACACACACACACACACACACACACACACACACACACAGGAAAAGAATGGGCGGCTCATTTGTGGACCTAAATTGTCCATATTCCCAGGACTATACCTAATTAGGCCACCCTGTTCTTATTTGTTTAAAACTCTTCAGCCCACATGGATTTCACTATTCCTTTGATAACCTACTTCAATATTTCGCGGGCTTAGCTCTTAAGCTATTTCTACAAAAGACTGGTGGTGAACCACCAAGAGAAACATGCATTACAAAAATAAATAGGGCACAACCTTAAGAAATGTACTTTTAAAATTACTGTGAGTTTATCACCAGCGAACTTTGATGTTCTCAAACAGCTGTATATAAAACTGCCTTTACCCAAACCGCTGAAATCATCCAGTGTGCACATAAATAAAAGAATACCCAAGGTCAATGTAAGGAGACGATATGAAACAGGGTAAAATCAGCAAATTAGCCTGATGTGAGGCTTTAGGTTTTTTTGTTGTTGCTGCTTTTACAGTTGCTGTGGTTACCCTCTGTTTCAGAGTCATTTTATCCTCCAACTGAATTTTCTCTTCAAATCAAAGGTTTAACATGGGGTAGGAGAGCATGAAAAGAGAAATGTGAATATACAGCTGAGATGATCTTCACGAGCTAGTCACTAGGTGCTAGCTAGAAAAAAACCCCAAACCCAACGCAGCACACAGTCATTCTCACCCACCCTTCGATCTGGCTGCTTTTCTAGGGGGTCACAGGAACAAGCTAAAGCAGTGGAGACCTCTTCTGAATTTTATTAACTGATCGGCTCATGTCTTCGTCTTCTGCCCAATACAAAAATAACATTCCAAGTCGAAGTTCATATATTCTGCAGAGAGATTTCTTTTGCACCAACTATTAGGACACATGGTCTTTTTTTTTTTTTTTTTTTTTTTTAAGAGACAGAGCACAAACAGGGGAGGGGGAGAGGGAGAGGGAGACGCAGAATCCGAAGCGGGCTCCAGGCTCCGAGCTGTCAGCACAGAGCCCGACGCAGGGCTCGAACCCACAAATTGTGAGATCATGGCCTGAGCTGAAGTCCGACGCTCTACTGACTGAGCCACCCAGGCGCCCCAGGACACATGGTTTTTTTTAAAAAAGTTTTTCCAAATGTGCTGATTCATTTACATGCAAAGTTGGGCACAGACAAGAAGTGTAAGGAGAGGGTAGAGCTTTAGGGAACCACGTTTGCTGAAAAGAAAAAGCAGTACGTGAAGCGGGTCCGTTGGCTCCCTGTGTCAGTATTTACCGAGCAGCTATGACACATTCGGCACAGGGGACAGTGGCGGGTAAGGTGGACGCGGTCTCTGTCACCCTGGAGCTTAAACACTGACCAGGAAGACAAACAGGTGACACAACGTGATGAGCCCTTGGAAGAAGTGGCACTTGGAGCACACTCGGCAGGGGCGTCGCCCTGACCGCAGGCGGGTGGCGAGGACCGAGGACCGGACACCCTGAGAAGCGATGTTACGGCTGGGTCCCACGGTGCGGAAAGAGCTGTCTGGCAGAGACGGACGGGAGTGGAAGGTCAGAGAACGAAAGGGCAGCAACACAGAACCACTTCCCTAAGGACACGCGGCTACTGATGCTGATGCCCAACATCTCTACAAACAAGCTGCCAGCTGTCAAAGCCACACCAGATTTGAACGATGCTCATTACCATCTAATGACTGTGTCGCGGTCGACAGATGGTTAAGACGGCTCCCCGGACTCACATCCTGGTGCCAGCCCTCCCCTGGAGAGGGGTCTGACCAGGCCTACTTGCTTCTGACCAACAGAATATGGCAACACTTCCGTGATTAGATTGCACAACTTGTGGCTTCTGTCTAGCGGTCTCTCTCTCTCGCCTTCTGAGCTCGCTGGCTTGGGTGACGCTAGTTTTCGTGCCGGACAGGGAAGGGAGGGAGTCCTCCTGCCAAGGGCCAGTGAGGAACTGACCCCCTCTGTCCAACGGCTCTCGGGGAACCGAAGTCTGCCTGTAGCCATGTGAGCTTGGAGGCTGACGCTCTCCCAGGGCGACCTTCAGATGGGCGCCTGGCCCTTGAGTACCGCCTGTGACAGAAGCAGAAGCGGACGGCCATGCTGTGTGCCCACATTCCTGACCCACAGAAACTGTGAGGTCATAAACGCGTGCGACTTGAAACCACTGACCTGTGGCCACTTGTTATGCGGCAACAGGTAACTGATGCAGGTGCACCTATAGTTCAAATAATTTTTACAGCCATCGTGGATAAAGGTGATTAGGGTGAGTCCTACATTTGATTTGTGACAGAGAACAGAGGACAGATAATTATTTTTTTTAAGTTCATTTATTTTGCGAGAGAGCACGAACAGGAGAGGGGCAGAGAGAGGGGGGAGAGAGAGAATCCCAAGCAGGCTCCGCGCGGTCGGTACAGAGCCCGACGTGGGGCTCGAACTTACAAACCGTGAGCTCATGACCTGAGCCAAAACCAAGAGCCAGATGCTTAACTGACTGAGCCATCCAGAACAGCTAAATATTAAACAGCAAGCTTCCCTGGCAGAGAAAACATATTTGGGCTGAGACCACACATGTCCTTTTACTGCAGATATAAAGTGTCAAAAATGCCGGACGCAGAAAAT